AATTTTGTTCAGAATATCGACCACGTGAAACATGGAGAATACAATGTCCCGACACAATCGAATCTGTTTGTGAGGATCAGAAACATATTCAAATATTACATAGTAGTGATACAATTACTAATGAAAATGGACATTGGATTTATAGCTATTATGATACTAAATCTATTTATATTTATGATTCATTAAATTTAAAACGTTTGTATGCCCATCATAAGATATATCTTAACAAATTATATCCATTTTATTCTTTTGATAAAAAACCGATACGATTTCCGACAGTTCAAAATCAATCTAATATTTATGATTGTGGTGTTTTTGCAATTGCATTTGTAGTATCACTTTTATTTGGCCTTAAACCAGATACAGTTATGTATGATCATATTATAATGTGTCAACATTTAGCACGAATGTTTGAATTAAATAAAATAGAACACTTCCCCCGAATAATAAGATCTACTGACCCTAAAAAGCTTTTTACTTTAGATTAAGTACAAAGAAGAGAGGCATTAGCTCATAAAAAACGAAAACGTCGACAAAGGAAAGCTGAACAAGAAAAATCTGTACAGTTGATAAAATTACAAAACAATATAACTGAAATGACAATGATGGATCAAGTAAAACAACCTGATAAAATATCAGAGTTATTTGATTGTTATAATATAATAAATAAAAATAGTAATATTGTAAATAAATGTGACAGTGTTGAACACTCCAGTCATGACATATTAAATTCCTCTTTATTATTGCTTCCTACAGATAAAACAAAAAATAATTTATGCAAGATAAAACTTTCTACAGATAAAACAAAAAATAATTTATGCAATAAATTTTAATTAAGAAATTGTTTATGCAATAAATTATTTTTTGTTTTATCTGTAGAATACATATAAGGAAATAATTTATGAAATAAATTATGCAAATAATTTCCCTATATGTATTCGAAAAAAGACGGATGTAATAACGGATGTAAGTTTTATAACAAAAAAAATTAACATAAATGTGCCAGTTTTGTTGCAAATATTTTACCTCTAAGTATGCAATATATACAGATTATTCTTACGGGTGAATGGTTAGAAGATATTCATATTGACTATTTTAATTTATTATTAAAGAATTGCTCAGAATATCGACCACGCGAATCATGAAAAGTTCAATGTCCCGATAGAATTGAACCTGCTCCTAAAAATCAGAAACATATTTAAATATTGCAAAGTTGCAGCGATATAGCAACTAATTTAGACGGCCACTGGGTTTGCAGCTATTATGATACCAACATGATTTATATTTATGACTCATTGAATATAAAACGATTACATACACATTATAAAATCTATCTTGAAAAATTATATCCATTTTACTCCTTTGATAAGCAACCAGTACAGTTTCCAACGGTCCAATCACAACCTAATGGTAATGATTGCGGGGTTTTTGCAATAGCCTTTGCAGTATCTCTTTTATTTGATCTCCAACCAAATAAAATTATATATGACCATAATTTAATGCGTCAACATTTAGCAGAAATGTTTCAATCAAATAGAATAGAACACTTCCCTCAAGTTATAGGAATAAATTTAGAACAAATTAATCATACATTCAGTGAGAATAGTGTGGATACTAATAATATTGCAATTACTAAAGATTTAACTAGAGATCAACATGATATAAAAAGAAAAATGAATAGTTATAATGATAGGGATAGAAATAAAAAACAAGCAAGGAAGAACTGTGACATTTATTCAGATAAGAATGATGTTATATGCGTAAATAAAAAAAACATTTTTAATAAAAAATATGAATTACATAGAAACAATTTTTTAATTAAAAAAATTTATATAATGAAAACATAAAAATAATATTAAAAAATTCAATAAGGTATTATGAAAAATACAAAAATGATATAAAGAAATCAAAAAAAGAATATTATAAAAAATACAAAAATGATATAAAAAAATCGAACAATAAATATTATAAAAAACAGAGAAATGATATTAAGAAATCAAGAAAGGATTATTATGAAAAACATAAAAATGATATAAAGAAATCGAAAAAAGAATATTATGGGTTATATAAAAACAATATACTATTATATAAAAATAAGCAGAATAAAAAGTATAATAAAGAAAAGTATATTAGAAACATATCAAAGCTTCTTAGAATGTCGTTGTCTGAAAATCAAGATCAGAAACATATCAAAGCTTCTTAGAATGTCATTGTCTGAAAATAGATTGGAGGCTGAACGTATAACAAAATGGTGCTTTTATATAAGAAAAAATTATATTCTACAAATGAGAAAAATATTTAATAAATGTAAACAAGAAATTGAAGTTTGACACATGCAACACAATGTTCTTCATCAAAATTTAGTAGAGATTACGTAAATATGTCCTGCGGACAAGATAAACATACCGCTTCTTCGGAATTATATTTTGCAGAAACTATCTATCATGTATATAATATTTCTAAACCTATTATAATGGATTCTGAAAGTAAAGCAATTAATATTTTACCTTTAATAGAATCAAAACATAAATCCAGAAAAACATGGCGCTGTAGTTCTCTTTGTAAAATGGAAGAGATCATTATTAACGATATGAAGTGTTGCTTTGAAAAATTTTTAAATTATACATTACAGACTCTTCGTAAAAAAATTTTATGTTATAATTGTTCCAATCAAATACGTCAAGACAACAAAGTAGGTTGTAACGATGCACCCCGTGCACCCCCTTCGATGCATCGTATCTACCCGGCATGCGATCCGCTGGAAGCTGCCGCCCGGCAGAACACCCGCCGGGCATAGACAGGGACGCGGTGCGACCACATTTTTTTAAACTTCTTTAACGCTTTCAAAAAGGGAACCGAATACCGCCGAGTGTTGCCGACGAGTCCCGATACGGCGACCGGCGAAAACCCGCGCTCGGCGCACACTCCGAACCCCTCCGAGCGGGCCCCCGACCGTACCGCTTTCCGTAATCTGTTCGGAAGGGTAATACCGCCGCGCGCCGACGCGGGCAATTAAGCCGATATAAAACGGGCACGTTAATCGGCACACTAATTATCTTTTTCCGATCCGCTCACGACAGTGAAGCAGCTCCGAAACCTAGACCGCTCCTACACAAAGAAATCTAGCTTCGAGGAAAGGAGGTAGAGCGAACTCTTCCTCCATTGAGCACTCTCGATCCTCGATCAAGATCTATCCATCCGATCAATAATCCGACCAGGGAAAAGGAATCAGAGTGCACTCTGATTCCGTCGAGAGTTCTCGACCACCGGTTTATAATCCGACCGCCAGACGCTAGTGCATCTATTCACGAGGCAGAGAGGAGAGCTACCTCGGACGAGTTATTCTCGTCAGCACTGCGTTCCCGGAAAACTCTCCTTAGCTTACCGAGAATTACAATTCTTCATAAACGCATACGAATAATTTCGCGGGAATACAGCGCGCATTTCTCGTAAATACATACGAACCATTTCGCGGAAATATAGCGCGCGTTCCCCGTAAACCAGCGCAAAAAGCCGATTAGACCGATCCTTCAGACACGCATACATAAAAACCATACGCGCGACGTCAAACGGTCATTGACCGCGCCGTAATCAAAACACGCGCAGTAAATAGCATTTAAAGATATCAATACGATCCAAAAGCGCATTATATTCAAAATACACACGACTAAAAATTATTGTACGATCCTTAGTGCAATCCAATATCGTTATATCACGCGCGCACGACGCGCGTACATTAATCTGCATATTGCGTTGAACATCTAATTTGCGCCTCGCGCCGAATATCGCGATCGAACACGTTCACAACACGCGCTCACGATCCTACACGCGTACACACGTACACTGTATTACATACAAGCAAAAAACACATTTCTTTTAGTAGCCTACACACGCTCTCGCTCTTTTGAAAAACCTACCGAACCCGGATTTCCGATTCCCGCTATCCGACGACAAATCACGCGGAAATCACACGTGACAAGGTCATTCTCACTGCTGTTATATTGACTATAAGTATGTAAATCATGGTTTTCACCTATTGAAATAATATTCCTCCATTATCCAATGATACAATATATTAAAAGATTAATACATAATTTAATCAATTTTAATAAAAAACTAAATAAATTACATAAAGCATTAAATGATGTTGATATAAATGCACATCAAGATATTGTAATTAAGGCTCAACAAAAAGCAAAAACTTTTGCACAGGTGACTACGGAAATTAATTTAAATGAGGATGAAATTAGCTTTTAAAGCATTTACGAAACGATGTTCCAAAATATGCCTATATTTCTTGTATAAAATATTATTTTAAAAAAGATATCATGATAAAAATAGAAAAGAAAAATCATAAAAGTTTGGAATAATTTTATTAATGATGTAGGATTAGAAATGAAAAAAATTGTATTATTTGTAAATTTTGTGATCAATATTTCAAAAAGAACAAACTGCCACCAACATGTAGAACCAATAAACTTGAAATTCTACCAGTACCAAAAGAAATAACAACATTAAATGAATATGAACGAATTCTTATACAACGAGCGAAAGCATTCCAAACTGTGCAAAGAGCGCATACGATAATGAATAAAAATCTATCGCATAAGAAATGATTTCAAAAGTGAAAGGCAGAACATTTCATTTGCCGCTGCCGTTAAACGAAACCTTAAAAAAAATTTGTCCTTCGACTGAACCTATTAATCTAAATCATAAATTACATATATTAGTTCGTGGTATTCCAACTAAAGCAAATATAATTTGGGAAAAATTAGTCGATGTAAAAAAAGTATGGACTGCCTTAATATATTGGGTCGTGAAGTATGAAATGGAGCAAACTTAATATCTTTGATTTCAATCGCGTATAACTTCACTTTGGAGCATTGTTTTGATACAAACTACTTGTTGTTTATAAAGGTACGTTTTTTCTCTTTCAGAATTATTTTTGATAATTGAAAAATATTGAATAGTTTTTTGTCAGCAAATGATCTAACGAGGTCATGGAAAACAGAGAAATTCGTGTTTTGATGAAATATGAGTTCCACCGTGGAGCCACAACACGGCAGGCAGTCGACAATATCAACAGTGTGTTCCCTACCCAAGTCGCTACGAACGCGACAGTAGCTCGTTGGTTCAAAAGATTTCGTTCTGGAAATTTTGACCTGTCCAATGAACCGCGTGGTCGACCTGAAACTCAGGTGGATAATGATGTCCTGAAAGCCACCGTGGAAGCGGATCCCAGCCAAAGTGCACGTGAATTAGCACTGACTTTCGGTGTATCGAAGAAAACAATCCTGACTCACTTGGCGCAAATCGGCAAGGTGAAAAAGCTGGACAAGTGGGTGCCGCACGAATTAAACGATGCACAAAAGCAACGGCGACTTGAAGCATGCCTTTCTCTTTTGTCTCGCAACAAAACCGAACCATTTCTCCATCGAATTGTTACCTGCAATGAAAAATGGATCATGTACGACAATCGCAAGCGTCCATCACAGTGGTTGGACCGAGATAAACCACCAAAACATTGCTCCAAACACTGCATCCACCAGAAGAAGCTGATGGTGACTGTTTGGTGGTCTGGCTCAGGTGTCATCCACTATAGCTTCATGGAACCTGGCAGATCGATCGTGGCGGATGTCTACTGCAACCAACTAGACGATATGATGCAAAATCTTGCGATTAAACAGCCGAGATTGGTCAATCGATCAGCTCCCATCCTCTTGCACGACAACGCTCGACCTCACACCGCACGAACGACCGTGGCAAAGCTACAGCAGTTGGAGTTAGAGACTCTCCGTCACCCACCATATTCGCCAGACCTTGCACCCACTGACTACCACTTCTTTCGAAATTTGGACAACTTCTTGTTGGGAAAAAAATTCAATTCCGCAGAGGCTGTGAAAACGGCCTTCCAACAGTTCATCGACTCCCGTGAGCCAGGCTTCTACAGCAAAGGGATAAATGAGCTACCGTTGAAATGGCAAAAGTGTGTCGATAACCTGGGTGCATACTTTGATTAAAAATACAAAGTTTTTATTTGAAAAGAATCGAGTTTTATTTATCAAAATTTTGCTCCATTTCATACTTCACGACCCAATAAAATGCCTTGAAACAAAATAATCCTATATATTCAGATATTATACTACCAACATCTCCCGAAAATTTGTTCCATTCTGAATTACAAAATGTAAAGTTTCAAGAGCATGATTTTTTAGAACTTTATGACAAAAATTAAGAGAAAGATAACGAAGAAAATGTAGAATTTTATGACAAAAATTTAGAGACAGATAACGAAGAAAATGAAAAAAATAATACTTCTAAGGAAAAATACAAAGCATTATTGACTCAAATGTGGCAAACAGATCAATATTATGAACAATTTACAATATATCCTATGTATGAAAAAAGAATAAATGAATCAGCAACTATGCTTTATCAAATGGTAAAAATTCAAGATGTTCCATTGGATAATCGCACTAAAGATTTGGATATAAAATGTTTCTCTGATTTATATCCATAAATCAGAGAATGGACAGCATAAAACTAGAAGTGTCCGAGTGGCACCCGTTTGGCCACGTTAATATTGACCACCGTCCCGATTGACCACGTTGAAATTGACCACGTTGCGATTGACCATGTTGCTATTGACAACGTCCCGATTGACCACCGTCCCGCTTGACCACCGTCCCGATTGACCACCGTCCCGAATTTCACATGGGTTTGCAACAGGATGGGGTGGGAATAGAGGGGGATGGGGGAGTGCAGCTGTGCGTGTACTTTGCAACGCAATCGGGACGGTGGTCAATCGGGACCGTGGTCAATCGGGACGGTGGTCAATCGGGACCGTGGTCAATCGGGATGGTGGTCAATCGGGATCGTGGTCAATCGGGACGGTAGTCAATAGGAACGTGGTCAATCGCAACGTGGTCAATTTCAACGTCGTCAATCGGGACGGTGGTCAATATTAACGTGGCCAAACGGGACGCTCCCGAAGTGTCCGTATAACTGATTTTGAATATATTAAAATGAGACATGTTACAACACTCACAATTTAGATTAAACATACAATATCTTTTCTATTTATTACATGATAATAATATGCGACAATTAAATAGTGGAATATTTCATAAAATGAATATTACCAATCCTTGTGAAAGATACATAGCTGCTTATTTGGAGCAATTATCTAATCAGCAGCTTGAATCTAACTTAAACATTATATTTTCCAAGGTTACGGAATACAGAACAATATTGGAGAAAACCTAGAAGTAATTTGCACTGTATGATATGTAATTATGGACCTGCTACTTGGTTTCTTACTCTCAGTGAGTGGTTATGGACAGATTTGATAGAATATCTTCGAGAGATGAATGAACCAACTGCCAATCAAAAATCTGCAAACGAACTTATTGCTTTCGATCTTGTATCAACTTTGAGATTTGTGAATAATAAATTTAAAGCTATGCTTGATTTTATTTGTTGACCTGATAATCCAATCGGAGAAGTCACTCATTATTTTTGGCGTCGTGAATATCAAGGTAGAGGTATGCAACATTTTCATTTATTAATTTAGATAAAAGATGCCCCGATAATTGGCACATCATCTAATAAGGATATTGCATCTTTTATCTTAAAATATTCCACTTGTAGAATGCCAAATAAAGAGTTATCACCTGAATTATATCGACGTGTAAATATACATCAACGACATAAACATAATAACTACTGCTTGCGTAGCAAAAAAACTAAAATAAGTTTTTCGAAAGTATACAGATTTGGTTTTTCACGACCCATAACAGACATTAGACTTTGAAACTTAAAGATGTTGCTGTTTCAATAGCGGATAGAAGAAAGTTGAAAACAAAAAGCAGACTATACGATTTGCCACGATCTAAAAAGGAAATTAATATTAATGATTATAATCCAGCTATTCTTACTGCTTGAGAAGGAAACATGGATATTCAATTTGTAGGTGAAGAATCTACATTATTGACTTGGTATGCTACGAAATATGTTTCTAAAGCAGGGAAGAGCAATAACGCCGAAAATACATTTGAAAAGATAAATTCAACAAAATCATTAAGAAATTATCTTTAGAATATTGGAATGCGTATGTTCAATTATAGGGAATGTGGAGCTCTTGAAGCTGCTGATTCTCTGTTAGGAATACCATTATATGGTACTGACAAGGAAACGACTATAAGATGGTTAGATGTAAATATGATTAGGAGTAGAAAACTTAAATCTTGCAAAGAGATTGAAATATTAGATTCTGAATCTGTGGATATTTTTTATCCTTCTTTAATTGATATATAATATCCAAGCAGACCTAAAGAATTAGAATCTACTAATTTATATGATTATGCAAAATGGTATGATATTGTGAAAACTAAACCAATCTCTAAGACATTAGAGTATTACGTGCTTGATGAATCTTTATATTTAAAAAAACGTAAAGGTGGATATCTTATCAATCATTACAAATGCAAAGTGCACACTCAGCCAGAGCGTTACTATTTCTCATTATTGTTATTATTTCCTTGGAGAGATATTACTGAATTAAAAAATGAATGTGATAGTTATGCAGAAGCATTTTCTTTAATACAATTTAAATTGGAAGATGCTCTTCAGTATCACGAAAGAATAACTGACATTCAGCAAGGTATGGATAATATTCAAGAATTAATTGAGAAAAAAATTCAGAAATTACAAAAGATCAGAAATTACAAAAGATGAAGATAAAAACGACTGCCTTGATAATGGTGCATTAGAATGTGTTCCTATCGAAGTTGAAGGAGCTATGAAAGACTTTAAAGATATTGGCAATAAAGTTGATGAAGTTAACATCGATAAAATGGTGACGCAATTAAATACTGATCAAAAACGAATCTTTGATAGAATTACTGCTGGCATATCTGATAAAAATAATGAAATTCTTAGACTTTATGTAAGCGGTGAGGGTGGTACTGGAAAGAGTTTTTTGATAAAAACTATTAGATTCTGGATCAAAAAGTATATAGGAAAAGATACAGCAGTAACTGCACCAACTGGTATAGCAGCTTTTAATATTGATGGACTTACTATTTACAGATTATTTCAGTTACCAGTAGAACATGGCCATACTGCCAAATATAAACAACTTTCTGATATAGTGCTTAATTATACGAAACGCTGATATAGTGCTAAATTATACGAAACGAACTTAAGAATGTTGTTTTAATAATTATCGATGAAGTTTCAATGATTTCAAATATCACTTTAATGTATATACATCTTCGATTAACAGAAATATTTAATCGATTGTGATAATGGATGGTTCAGCAAAAAACATATACTTCTTTCTGGAGATTTATTACAACTTCCACCTATGCATGAGGATCCGCCTTTTATTGAATTATCTAAACTAAAAATTGAAAAGTATATTGGTGCAATGGGATCTGTAAATTTATGGACTTTATTTAGCTATGATGAATTACAAATTAACGTGCGACAACAAAGTGATAATTCTTATCGAGATATATTAACGAGAATTCGTGTTGGAACAGTAACAGATACAGATGTAACTATTTTAGAAAATAGGAAAATAAATTTTAAAGAAACTAATTGTGATGAACGATTACAAGAATTATGTGATTATTTGCAAAGCTTACCAATAGATACAGTTTGTTTAATGCCAACTTGTGCATTATATGATTTGAATACTGCAATGTTAAATCGTATTTCTTCGAATGAAATAGAACTTGAAATAGAACTGTTGCTCAAGATCTAGCAGAATGCGTCATCATATTTAAAGAAAAAAGTTATGAAGATATTAAGTAAAGATGATGATGATAGTTCCCGAACAGCTGGATTAGCAAGAATTATAACTATAAAATTAGGTGCACGTATAATAGTTAGAAGAAATATCGATGTTAGTTTAGGTCTTGTAAATGGTACAATTGGTACAATTACATCAATTATGCGATAGACAGTGCAATAGACAATGAAGTAGAAAAAATAAAAATAGTATTATCAGAATGGAACATATTATAGAACGCATAAGCGTTAAGTTTGAAGTAATGGATAGAGTGTTTGTTATAAGAAAACAATTTCCTATATGTTTAAGTTATGGTATGACTATTCATAAAAGTCAAGGCCTGAGTTTAAAACATGCTGTTGTAGAGGCTGGAAATTCTGTATTTAGTTGTGGACAAATATATTACAAAGGTAAAAAAAATACGCCAAGTACATAAAAAATATTCTACCTTGTATGCAACAAAACGTTTAATAAAAAATACCCTTATAATAAATAATTTACAAAAATTTTCCCTCAAAAAATATATATTATTTTCCTAAAAAAAATCAAAATTAAATATGAAATCAATGATTAATTAGCCAAGTACATTGAAGCAATTGATAGGGATTTCTAATTTGAAATATTTGTCACAAATTCAATCTTGCATTTATATATTAGATTCTCGACAAAATAAAAATGAAATTCAAAATAAGTTCCAAGTAAATTTAGAACTAAAAAAATTAAGATCAAAACAACTTACAAAAACTTGGCGTGCTCGGGTCACATTATAATACATATAATTTTACAAAGTTTGCGAATTATATACCTGTAATTAATTTCAATTATAGAAATATGTGAATTATAATACGACCCGGAGCATGCCAAGTTTTTGTAAGTTATTTTGGTCTTAATTTTTTTAGTTCCAAATTTACTTGGAACTTATTTTGAAATTCATTTTTATTTTGTCGAAAATCCAATATATAAATGCAAGATTGAATTTGTGACAAATATTTCAAATTAAAAATCCTTATCAATTGCTTCAATGTACTTGGCTAATTAATCATTGATTTCATATTTAGTTTTGATTTTTTTTAGGAAAATTATATATATTTTTTGAGGGAAAATTTTTATAAATTATTTATTATAAGGGTATTTTTTTATTAAACGTTTTATTGCATACAAGATGGAATATTTTTTATGTACTTGGCATATTTTTTTTTTACCTTTGTAAGGTTTTTTTTGGAA